TAAGTTAAGATGGGAAGATGGTGTGAAGAAAGAAGTGGAAAAGATAGAGCCTGGTATCAAGTGGAGAGAAGTAGCGGAGGACAGGGATAGGTGGCAAAATTTAGTGTTTTCAGGATGGTCTTAAGGGCCGTAACTAAAAAGAAGAAGAGTTCTTAGGGCTTCACTCAGATATGATCAATGTGTGGCTGGAATGATAAATTCGTTGTAAAAACTACCCCAAGATCTCTAACGGTAATAATATCTTCAATTCGATTATCAAACAGATAATAATCATTAATTAATTTCGTTCTTGAATGAGAATAAGACATTTTGAAACATTTAGTGATGTTTAGTTTTAACCCATTTGAGTGGCACCAATCACAAAATCTATTTAAATCTTAAATTTTATACTCATCATTAATTGTTATAACATTAGCATAAATTTTGAGGTCATCGGCAAACAGTTGATACTTACAGTATTTAAAACATGCACCTATGTCCTTAATAAATAATGCAAACAACAGTGGTGATAAATGCCCCCCTTAGGGAACACCTGAAGGCACTGGTATTTTATTTGATAGAAAATCATTAATTTTCACCTGCTAGAATCAATTCGCTAAGTAAGAACTAAGCCAAGTTAACAATTGATCAGTTATTCCGTACGTTTTTAATTTTGCGATCAACACTGAATGGTTTACCGAATCGAAAGCCTTGCTGAAATCTGTGTAAATAACATCCATCTGAATTCCGGATTCCATAGAATTTACCAAGAAATTATAAAAACAGAGAAGATTGGTTTCCACTGATCGCTCTTTCCTAAAACCGTGCTGGTTATTATCTAAATGTAAAAATATATGTAATAATGGTTATTATCTAAAATGGTTTTGAATGAAAATGTTAATACCTTTGTTACTAATTTATCTAATAATTTAGGTAAAGATGATTCTTTTGCAATCGGTCTGTAATTTTTATCAAACTTTAACTTTTATTACCAGACTTATAAATGAGTGTAATAAAATTGATTTTTCATTGGGAGGGGAGAGTGCCAACAATTAAAAAACGATTAAATAATCTACATAAGGGAACAGATCATGAGAAGATACATGACCGTAATAAAATATTTGGAATACCATCTGGACCAGGGCACTGATTTAAATCTAAAGAATTAATGGCTTCAAAAATGTCACTAACAGTGAATTTAATATATGGTCGTGGATGGTATATATCTGCATAGGTTTTTGAATAATCAAGACATTCAATAGTATTTAATTTTTTTCTAGAATAAACTGAACTGAAAAATTCTTTAAAAAGATTAGCGACCTCAAGATCACCCGTTGTTGACTTGTTCTCAAGCATCATAGTAAGTGGTATGCAATTATTTGTTTTTAGTCCATTGATGTATCGCCAGAATGATTTTGGATCAGAGATTAGGTTTGATTGGATTTTTTGTAAATAATGTAAATTACATAATTTGGATTCTTGTTTGCATAAACTTCGTATTCGCGAAAACTCACTATAGATATGGGAATTTTTTGAAATTTAAACTCTTTATGTAATTGTTTTTTGTTGTATATTAAAGATTTTAGTTCCCTACTATACCATTGAGGATACTGGTTTTTATATTTATAGACTTTAGAGATAAACAAGTTAATTGCATTATGGATGACTGAATAGAAATTAGTTATGGTGACTGAATAGTCTAACGACTCATTTAATACAGAATCCCAGTCAATATTATTTAAGTAAGAATTTATTGATTCGTAATTAGCATGTCGAAAGTTAAATTCTAAGGAAGGGAATGATGATTTAAGAGAGGAAACGAAAATTGGACCATCTATTTGAAGTGGAGTATGGGCAACATCAATAGATACTAATGGATATGAACCTTTTGATACTTCTAAAGTATGATTATCGGATATTACTAAGTCTAGTATATTATTTCCATAATTTGGTATAAAATTGTATTGAAAAAAACTGCTCATAAGCGAGAGTCTCAGCAAGAACTTTTGATTTATCAGAGGACTGACCAAATAATAAAGCATGATTTTGATTAGACCATTTTATCCCAGGTAAATTAAAATGTCCAACTATTATAAAAGTATAATCCGAGAAAATTACCCTTAAGTTTTCTATTTCGGCGTAATGGTATTTATAAACATCAACAGAGCTATTTGGAGGGATATAGATAGCTATAATAATAATTTTAAAATGATTTGATTTAAATGAAACGGCTAAGCATTCTAGAGACATGTTATACAAGGTAAAAAAATTAGTGCAAAAACAATTATGGATAGCTATAAGGATGTTACCTCCTTTACAACTGTCAATATTCAGATATTTTCGATCGTTACAAAACACAGAATAGTCAATCATTCCAAGTTCATTATTATAGATATCATCTGTTAACCACGTTTCTGTTAGAATAAAGTAATCGAATAGTTTAAGGAAGCAAAGTTAATACGAACTGTAGATAATTTTGATTTTAGACCGCGGAAATTTCGATAATAGCCAGATAAAGTGTTAGAATTATTACTTAACATATGGTTAAAATGTACATAGAGAAGATTATTTATACTACATGACGATTGAATAAAGGGTGTACCTGAGCCACAGATCAGTTTTTTCGAGCTAACGTCGGTGAACCGCAAACATATTTTATGAACCAAATTCCATTATTCAAACTATTTCTTTTATCATGTTCTTTTTTTATGTCTGATAAGATGGATCTTTGTAATGCAGTTAACTCTGTTGTAATCCAAATATTTTTCCAAAATTGGTTATTGGATAGTAATTTCTTAGATTTTAAGACTGCCAAGACTGACTGAGGAGACTCAAATTCGATTTCTAATAGGTCTCGGTTTGTTCGACTGCTTACCAAGACGAACAGTTGAAATGATGGAGGCATTCATTTGTAAAGATTTTATAAGATCAGTCGCAAGCTTCGCCTCATCATCTTGGGATTTGACCACATTAAATAATGTTGCGGGACTTAGTTTCTCTTTCTTGTATTTCTTTAACTAAGTCGAACCCTGGAATGTTATTAGCAGTGCTGGATAAGCATGTATGATCTAGAGAATTTGTTTCAAGTTTTTCAATTTCTCTTTTTAGTTCTGCATTTTCGTTTTTTAATGAAATAATTTCAGCTGAGAGAGAATCCATTCTATTTAAAATAGCTGTTGACGATTTTCTTGGGTCAATAGTTTAGAATTAATCGATTGAATGTCATTCCGCATGATTTTGAGGGTATTTATTATATCAACAAGAGAAACATTTTTTTTAGTATTAGTTGAAGGCTCAGTAACAGGAGATTTATTCATGAACGTATTGATGAGTTAAATAAATATGCATATATATATATATATATATATATATTAATGAATGTATACACTATATAATTTTACGATGAATAATATAATTACCTCACTTTCGAAATATTATGATTAGTGTAGCCGATCACGATGATCAATCAACCTGAAGTACAATAGTAATAAGACTTGATATAACGATAACGTTTAATATTAATAAAATTAAATTGTACATGTGCCGATCAACATTTAACGAGATAGATAACGAACTGCGCGTGTGGAGCTTCAAGACACGTCCGTTCGAAACCGCGGTCTATATTGTACTAATATGGCAAATGTTTTGAAAAAATGCAAGCTTATAGTTTGGAATGAAAGTCTAATGTCTCATAAAAAAGGATTTGAGGCTTTAAACAACTGTCTGAAGGATCTAAAGAATTCAAATTTATTAATGGGAGGAGTCACAGTACTGCTAGCTGGAAATTTTCCACAAACACTACCAATCGTACCCAGAGGAATTCGAGCTATTGAAATCACAGCATGCATCAAGTCTTGTGGTCTAAAATAGAAAAATTTTCTTTGACCAAAAATATGTGAGTACATTTAAAAGGAGACAAGACTGACTGCTGAACAGTTTTCTGAGCTACTCTTAAAAATAGGAAATGGAATATATCCAGAATGTGAAGAAAAAAATTACTTTTCCGACAGGATTAGGTACTGTTGTTAATACTTTACAAGAATTTGCACACAAAATATAGCCTGACATCGAAAACCTCAAAGAAATATCAATGGACTGGTTATGTGAGAGGGCTATTTTGACATTAAAAAATGATACAGCGGGACAAATAAACAAAATCTTATTAGACTCTTTTCAAGCAAAAAAAAAAAAAAACAAAAAAATGGAATACAAATCGGTAAATTCAGTGCTGGAAATAGGTGATGCAGTTAACTATCCTGTAGAATTTCTCAATTAACTCAACCCTCCTGGTTTCCCAAAAAATTTATTAACATTAAAAATTGGTACTCCTATAATGCTTCTAAGAAATCTTAGCCCACCAAAATTGTGTAATGGGACTCGTATACGTATTACTGATCTTCAAAAAAATCTGATAGAAGCTCAAATTATGATTGAATCTAAAAAGGTGAATTAGTTTTTTTTCATCACATACCAATGATACCAAAAGATTATCCATTCCAATTTAAGAGAATGCAGTTTCCTGAAAATGTATGTTTTACTATGAAAATAAATAAATCATTAAGACAAACCTTAAAAACTGCAGGGATCGATGTAAAAGAAGATTGTTTTTTATGTGGACAATTTTATATGGCATGATCTGGAGTCAGTATGCCCACAAATTTAGTTATTTTGGCACCAACAGGAAAAACGTCAAATGTAGTTTGTAGAGAAATTTTGTAATAAGATTGTTGTTATACATTATTATTTTTTATTATATACCTATTAAAATAATTATTTTTTTTATTATATACCTATTAAAATTAGTCGTCTCTCTTGGTTTGCGGCCATCCAGTTAACGTTGAGCTGTAGACATTTTTTATACTTAAACCCGGCAACGACGGGTAATTCAGCTAGTTTTATATAACTAAGACACCCTAGTAGAATAAATAAAATAATTATAAATAATTATATATTCACATTATTTGGAACATAATATTTTATTTTTCTGTGATATTTTGTAAAGGTGGTCCCACATAACTCACAACCATTCAAAAGTTTAGAGACGAGTGACTATTCCGATTAATGACACAAACTTTGAAGTGACGTCACTCACCAATTGTAAGAAGAGCACAGTAAGTAGATCTACTACAAGTATTCATAAAGCTTAACGATTGCCGAGCAACGTGTCATTTGTTAGCTATCTGACTATTTTCAATCATTCTTGATTATTTCCTAACAGTAGAAAATACCCTGATTATGTACAAGTGCCATCGCGAGTATACATTTAATTATTGCATGTGTCTGATCTCATATTACTCGCGAGTGTCAACGATTAATTTAATGTTAAATTAATTGTTTATACTTGTGAGTACTGTGGGACCTGCTTGATGTAGAGATATAATTTCGATTAATTTAGGCGAGAATATATTACGTTTATTAATTAAAAAGCTATCAAGTTATTAAGGAGTTACATGTCTGCAGAGATAAAGCAATTGGCAGGTTAGGCAGGTTAGTGATCCGTATCATCTGAGTAAAAAGGTACATCGTACTAATAATTCAATACATATCATTAGGGCCCAGATTTTTATGCAAAAATTATTGTTAAATATTCACATATTTATGCACTTAAAAATTCAAAAATATACAAAAAAAAATTATTGTATGCTAAAAAACCAAACATATAAAAAAATTAAAAAGTATTTTATTGAGCGAAAAAAATGTACAATTTAAATATAAGAATTGAAAATGTATTTAGGTCTAGTATAAAAATGTGTATTAATTATTGAATGAGTACCAACATGATGTAACAAAACGTGCCTTTAATTTATCAAATTGAAAATGTCTACAACTGTCACGTAGCATCAACTTGTATTTCGAAAAATTTCTTTCTACATCTGCTGACACAATGGGTGCATATTTGAAACAAGAAATATCTTCTGGTGACAACTCTGCAAGGTCTTCATCATCGTTTTTTATTTCTCCGTTTATAATTTCAGATTTTTTTTTTTTATTTATGATAATCCGGGATTTTTTGGTAATACTTTCAATAACTTAACTTTAGTAAATTCAATACTTCGTCCTCCTTTACTCAATTTATCTACAACATTTTGAAACAATTCTAGGCTTTTTCCAAGATTTACACCCAATTTTTCTAGACACGTGATAGTGATAGTGTCTGTTATGCATTGGAAATTTAATAAAATTACCGAAAATTTATTTTTGATCGAGTCATCATTAGATAATTATTGTACATTTTTAATAAACTTTGCATCATTTGAGTTAAATGTGTCGACTACTTTTTTGGCTTTGTCGAAATTCTTACAATAATAAAAGGCAGCATCTAGCCATCGGACGTTCCCGATCGGATAATAAGAGGTTGTGGTAAAAACTTAAGTTTGGATATTTTTCTTTAACAGTACCCACCCGAGTAGGTGCTTTTAAAAAAACTTTTTTTGTGTTAGATATCAACATATCAAAATTTGAGAATTTATACCTAAAATAACTTCCTTGTTTAGCAAAAGCAAAAACTTCTATTTGTGATGTATAATTTAAGTTTTCATTGCATAATCCACCAAAAATCTGTTGGTGATTTGAGATTGAAACCACTGCGTTCAGCTTTTAGTTCGAAGTTATTGGCATATTTCATTAGAAGTTAGTACGTCAGCAGCAATATTTAAATTGAGAGATTTCAATTGTTTCGAAACTATTGGAAAACGCTTGTTCATAAGATATTTGTAGCTTATTTGGCAACAAGAAGAACATCAAAGGTTTAAAAACATTGCTAAACAGCCTATGGATTGCAAAAACCTGCAGAAAAAGGTTAGGACAACTAGAAAATGTTCCACCAGCCCTGTAATTGAAAATTCACTCAATTTTTTTATGCTTGTATCGGTTGAAAAACATAGGTACAATATTATTATCGGAATCGTTATGGAGTAAAAAGGCTCGTTTTCGTTTATTTGTAATTTCATGATGTTTAGTATATTATGATATTCTGAAAAAGTATTTGGTAATTTCGGAAAATGAGAAAGTCTAACGTGTCCAATATTTTTTTAATCAATATGACATCTTGAATAGTGAATTTAGGGGAACCAGTTTTTTGTAATTCAGTCTGGAGAAGTTGAAGGCATTTGATTTTTGTTTTATTAAATTATTTCCTTTTTGTAAATCTAATTTCTGAATATTGTCTTTTTCATGATTATGAATCAAAAAACAATCGTCTAAACACGTTTCCGTTTCGTCAATTTTCAAAATGCACTTAAATGTTTTAAGAGTACTAAAACTAACTACACCATTTGCTAACGGTTTAGACCGAATTTTGTGCCTTTCACGATTATTATAGGTCTGCCTTTCTTATTAACCATAATTTCTTTCAGAATACTTGAATACTATATTGCAATAAATGAAAAAAAGTAGAGATAAAAAGTGTCACCAAAATTACTGAAGAACTATCCATGTAAATTGTAGTATACATGCATGAACTGCTGAAGAACCACTAACGCACTCATTTGTATCACGATGTGACTACTTTCAACGAAAAGTAAGTATATTAACCGTTGATAAAACACCTTTTAGACGGTATCTCTCCTGTAGTTAGTGTAGTTCATACTAATATAGTACATCAATAAAAATTTCTATTACCGTCTAATTCCATGTATACAAATATTATGTTATCAAGTTGGGGACATTATCACCGGGACGGAATTCAGACATTTTCAGCATTTGGGGACGAAATTCAGTAGCTGTGATTTATATATATAAGGGTGGTGAAGTGCCGGTAAAGTACGTTCTCACTATAGCAAGTATCTGCACACCACCGAACGTCCGGGAAGAAAGGTTTTCAAGCAGGTGCGTTCGGGGGAACAAGGGGCCACAACAGTCTTATGTATTTAAAAAAGTTAAACACGAAAAGGTAAACACTCAATCATGACCATTTCTGGAATCCCGCGGCCGCGGGATCATCTATGTTGTTAAGAGTCGTTACCGTGTTAATACAGGATCCGGCCCGCCGCTATCACTGCTTGGGTACTCACCGATACCGCATTTGGCCTCGGGATAAGACGAGTAATCCGAGACTGAAATAAGAAGCGACAGAACGCACGGGCCTCATAAAGACGGTGACCTGAGTTCGAGAGACGGTCGCACTTCGAACCCATTAGCTTTCGTCGGCGTTGGCTCCATCATTAACACAACTAGAACCCGAATATTGGGGATGCTGAAATTGCTGAAAATAAAATAAAATACAATTTAACTGTAATTACTATAGATTATATAGATCTGAAAAAAAACAGGTGTGCTACATTTAAATTCAGGAATGCTAAAAACCCTATTGCACCCCACCCCTAGTTGCGCCGATGGTCTCTGTCAGCAAATTCTAAATAAATTTTGATCATCAAAGACCTCACGACTTGGAGCACATTAAATATTGGTAGAAACCTGTGTAGCCTTTAGCGCGAGTTCACTGTTTGGGGAGGCGTATTAAATTTATTTCGCCTCCCCCCCCCCTACAAGGGAATGTTTAAATACCGCTATCCATAACCTGCGGACCAGCTCTAGTTGCGCGAACCAACGCGTTCTCTTCCAGCTTTAAATCTAAGCAGCAACTAGAGGACAAGCAGTTACAATCAATGACGATCAGTTGACTATAGCGTCGCTGCCCTATGGCTGAAATTCAAAATACTATGACCTTGTACATTAAGGGGCCATATTTATGGCCCACTACCATTTTTATTTATTTTTATAGATAAAATTCTTTATAATAATATACATTCTATATCCACGGCCGGAACCCAATACCCAAAGGTGAGCTCCCAACCTACAAAAATTCGTATGATATCTGATGTACAGTGTATCCGACCATTTTACTTAACATGATTATTTCATTTCTATACTAATATTTACGTATAAACGAAATATTTTAAAGTGTTTTAACTTGATAGATAATTTTTAAATCAACTGTAAAAAGCTAAGTTATTTCAATTGCCAATTAAACTAGTTAAGTTGAACATTTTATTAGAATATAAACTAACTAGTTATGTTTAAAAGTTTAAAAATATTAACTTTTTAACTTAGCTTTAACTTTTTAACTAGTTAATGCCCACCTTTGTAACTTGGTATACCAAACGAACGTATCTCATTGATCGGTTATTTCTTACTATGACGCTGTAAAATGACTCATTGATTATGATCTCTATCTGAGCTAATATATAATTTGACAGCGCCATACTATGTTGACTTTTGATACAATGTCTGTCTCTGTAATATTAATTTGTATTTATTACTATACCATTTTGTTATGTTCAGAATACCAGTTCTTACTTATTTGAAATGTGTTTAAAAAAGTAATGTAAAATAGAAACATATTTCATATGAAACATGCATAAAACAAATTGTCGATATAAAATAAAAAATTGTACAAAAAATATTACAATACAAATCCATATTTTATTTTTTTCATACAATATAAAAATATGCAAAACGGTAAGTACACCAATTATCATCTAACTATACAAACGTGTAATATATCATTCTGAATTTTATTCCTAGGTCAAATAGAGTATATTTTGTTAGAATCTATACCACATTTTGTAGATATAGTATATATCAGTGCATTATCAGTTCAGATCATGATTTTAGAGCAATATTTAACTATCACCACTACCTATAATAAATCATTGCAAATCGGAAACTCATACTTAAATTATATTTTACGTTAGTTTATTCATTATTCAAGCGTTAAATTGTTAATTAATTATATAATATATAGAACGTACCTGCAAACAAAAATATTACTAACTTAAGAATATTTTTCCCGAATTCGTTTGTAAGACTGTTATAAAGCACTTAATTTTTTTTTAAGGGCGCTACTATTATCCTCCAATCACGTAGGTAATTTGTACTCGTGTAATTAAGTATAAATTTGCTGATATCACCAAATTAATAATACTTTTCAATCTGATACCATACTAGTACAAATTTAAAACTTTAAAGTGGTAAATGTAAAGTATTTTAGAAACTGGCTCCATGATTGCAGCATTATCAAATTTGATCATGTCGATTTTTACACATTTTCGTGTTCGTAAAAAAATGCATCTGATCATTATATAATATTTTTTATTGGCAATTAGAAGAATCGAGAGTTTTTTTTTATCTCCGCAAAGGTGTATATTTTGTCATTTTTCGAAAACGTTCTGTTATTTACCACGGGACTATTAATTAGCTGGTAACTCGATCGTGGGAAATCTCGTTACCAAGATGTAAAATATTATTACATCATAAACAGTATGTTATTTGAGATATAAACTCTAAAATATTATTAAAAAATTATTTTAAAATATTATGAAATAATTATATTTTAAAATACTCAAAATATGTTCTAACGGGAGTGAAAACTGTTGAAAGTGCATAACTACACAGAAACTACAAAATGATGTCACATATAACATTTTACAATCGACTTTTCAATATATTTATATATACATATGATACATTTTTATTGCAGTTTTTTAAACTAACAAACTTAACGAGTATTAATAATAATTAATAATAATAATTATTTTACTGTTTTTGTTGTTATTTTCCTTTATCTACTATACTTTACCTAAAATATCTAAATAATATTATAATTATCCGATCAATAACATACATAATTTAAGCGTGTGAACATTTTACACTTCTAGAATATAATTATTATAATAATGAAATAGCAACTAAAACGTGATGTTTTTGTCAATCTAATACTGTAAAAAGAGTCAAAACAAATTGAAAAATTGGAAGTATCATTTGTGATAGTTGATACTCATCTATAGTAAGAGGCAATAGCTAACTCAAACGTTAATATATTGATAAAACATAATAAAATATGAATGGTTATTTATTGTATTATTGAATTCTTGGCGTCTTGAATATAAATTGATCAGTTGGCAATCCGAAGGTAAAAAGTTTTGTGTGATTTCCGTTTCTCAAAGATTTGTTTAATCTTAGTATAGATGATGGTTTCTAAACTATTACATTAAAATATTTTTAAGATTAAAAAAGCAGAAAGTGGGTGCAACGTTATTTTATGTTTAATTGAAATTCCGATCAAGAGCGACCAATATATGAATGTATTTATAAGTTTAAACAAATAAAATAATGTAATAATTGTATATCAAAGTTATTGATAAAATTGCTGATGTTTTTTTTGTTTATTATACTGCTATTTGTTTACATACTTCCAAAATGCAGTGTAGTTTGACACATTTTGTCTCTCTTTCTTTCTTTCTCACTATTGGTCTATTTTAGGAGAGGGGGGGACTTTCACTGAAAAGTGAAAAACAATAATTATTGCGATAGAGGGCTGGAAAAAATATGACAAACATAACACGATAATAATAATATTCCGTTTTGCGTGCCCGTCACCCTATTGCCGTCCACTTCGTAAATGCACATGACATATAATAAAATATATAGATAGTGTGATAACATGCAACCCGTTGTTGAAATCGATCGAACCCAAATCAATGGCCCAGTTGTACACTACCAGTTCGGTCAAGATGATGTGCGCCATGAAGTCGGTAAGTCGATTTTATTTTTTATTTTTTATTGTTTGCCGTAGACTCGTTTTCAATGCATACATATGTGTGATTATGCAATCGTAATTTGCAGTTACATATTAATAATTAGTGTGCGTAGTGTAAACAGTGTACACATGATGTACCTACCTACTCTACTCCAATGACGACGGTGTGCGATACGATATCGATGAGGTGTCTAACCGCAACGTCAAAAAAAAAAAAAAAAAAAAAAAAAATGAAAAAATAATAATAATAATTATGATAGTAATGTTGAAAAAATAAAAATTTAAATTTAAATTATACGAAAGACCGATACGTACGACGTATACGCAAACGCACCCGAGCATGTCGTGTCAAAACATTATTTATGTGCCTCATTGCGAGGCCATTACCATCTGTGCCGGGGCTGTTCGTATTGTTTTAGACCACTTGTTCCCGTCAATATTGTTTGAATGCGCGAAATAACGACAATTTCGCCGGTCCATTGTCATGACTTAATTGGTTTGTTAATGAAACCACCCTGTCATTAAAATGCACCATCCTAGACAATATAAAAAGGAAAACTCAAAACGCGTGAAAATAATATATGTTGTATTGTTTTGTTGTCAAAAAGCATCGTAGAGTAATCACAACGATTCGCAGAAAACTCGAAAATTATAATTAAAACTAAAGAAATAATACCATGTTCTAAATAAAATATGATAGTGGATTTAATATCTTAGTGATTATCCGCCGACGTTAACGCAATTTGGTTAACGAAATAGTCTGTGCATATCGTCATTGCGATCAAAACGATTTTAATAATTCAAATGGTCTTGAAAATATGGTTTTATTTTTCAAACTATAACGAAAACAAAATAAATCTTTTTCCTTTAAAATAATGTATAGCTGCGCCCAGAACGTTCAATCTTCTGAAATGAGATTATTACAAAAAACGTATTACAGATTTCAGATATGTATTCTAATGAAAAAATATAAAAATAAAACCATAAAATTCATAAAATGCAGACATAAATATTTAATTAAAATTTCAAGTCTCTATAATCTCGACGTTGCAATTTCAGTCTACAGAAAAAAATATTTTTTGAAAATTAAATAAAAAATGTCAGACAAAAACTAAAGCAAATAACTTAACACGATAATTTAAAAGTTAATCAAAAGCATTTTAAAATTAGATTATCTTACTCCGCCTTTTCCTTATCACCCCGTTGGAGTTTGTGGGATGTCCGTTTTAACAACATAAATATGTTGTGCAAAAAATAATAATAATAAAAATATGTATTTTTTT